GTCGCAAAAATTCATGAACGCTTGTTCATGTATTATGGCCGCCATCTCAGTTCCACCCGACCTTGCGGATCCACCCGACGACACCAAACCACTCCGAAATTCACCGAAAATCCACCACAACTTCGTTTGACTTCGCGCATGCGCCACGCTGGAACCATGACTACCAAATTCCGGCTAGGAACTTTTCACGTTGGTACCTAGGTGCCCCGAAAATTTCAAGGCGATACATGTATTCGTTCATGTCGTTTGTTCTTGATACGGTTCTTGCCATTCGTCAATTTACGGATTCTGTAAGGGGAAAAAATTGGAATTTCGCTACGACACCGGCACCGATTGTCCGAAAATCATGAAATTTGGACACAGTACGCCCATTACCACCCCGGACTCTGTGCTTTACTCCCATTTTGATCCGATTAAAAAAAAGAGTTTTAGCAAAAAAAAAAAAAAAACGATTTTCGGAATTTAAATTTTGTTTTAATTAATTTTGACATTGCAAATGTAAATGGGTCTTATCGCCTCTTCCGTAAGTGATAGGTGTTAGTACTATACACATTATCCTTACAAGACAATTTTTTAAAATAACCGCAACACTAAAAACCGAAATCGACTATTTTGACTTTTTTTGACTGCTGAGGCATCCTTCCGGTGGTCAAAATCTCTGGAATTTCTAGCGGTTGGCTGCGCCGCGATAATATTTATCATATATTAAAAGGGAAAAAAATTCGCAATATTATACTTACTGACATGGGAGTTACATTTTCTGAATCCTTGAAGGAATGCCTAAAAAAACATTCAGAACAGAATTTTGATTTCGGTCAACTGATGGTCTCCATTTGGAATTGAATATGGAGAACAGGGAAAAATCCACTTTTATTATTTCTGAAATTAATGCATTTCAGGATAGCTCGGGATCAAGATTCATTTTTTGGTATTTCGCCTTTTGACCTTTTATGTGCCGACAAAGTTTTTTGCAGGAAAAATTTAACCTAAATATTCAAACAGCTAATGTCAATCTGATTCAAAAAATATTAGTACCGTTTAAAGTTATTTCATTTATTTTTTTGATATTTTCCTGCCCCCTTTTAGTTCTTTCCCGCCATTTTCGTTTCACGTTCTCATCCGTCCCGTTTTTAAACGGCTTGATCCATTTTTCTGAAACTTCTGGAACGGAAAGTCATTCCGATTACAGCAATCTAAGTCTCAGTTATTTCCCTTTAGTTTCCAGTGCAATGTTTCTCACTATATTGAGACTTGTAACTTCGCGACTTTTTCACCGATTTTGATAATTATTTTTTGTTGTTCTTTTTTCTTTTAAGATACTTGATATAATCCATGTCACGTGACGATGAATATGAAAGCTTTCATATCTGCATGGGACAGTAGCAGATCTAGTTAAAATTATTATTAGGCTTTCAGACAAAAGTCTATTGTGATTACTAAAATTATTATTATTTATTAGGTCTATTGTGATTACTAAAATTATTATTATTTATTAGGCTTTCAGACTTTTGTCTGAAAGCCTATTGGGATTACTAAAATTATTATTATTTATTAGTTTTTGTCTGAAAGCCTATTGTGATTACTAAAATTATTATTATTTATTAGGCTTTCAGACTTTGAAAGACTATTGTTTTTACTAAAATTATTATTATTATTAGGCTTTCAGACTTTTATCTGAAAGACTATTGTTTTTACTAAAATTATTGTTATTATTATTATTCTTTTCCGCGGGAGCCTATTTCTCCATGATCGAAAACAGATATCGATCTGGAACCAAATTTTCTATTGGGAACCATGTGGTGGCTACTTGATCAAACAATTTTGAAACTTCTGCGCATACCGGAAGTAACCGAATTTTGTACTTCTTTCCGGAATTGAAAATCAGCCGTGGTTTCGTCAATTCGTCAATGGTTTCTATTTTCAAACAAATGACATTTTCGGAAACCCCAAATCTTTTCCAAGATAATGGCTATTTCATATTTTTCAATTTCGAACATTCATCTATGGCCTTTGTCGTTCGAATTTTGAAAATACTTTGTTAACGAGACACTTTTTGTTATTTTTCAAAATCTACATTTTTAGATACCTGAAGACCATCCGATTCCAGAAATATAAGTTTCATTCCGAGTTACCGCCCTTTATTTTTCGATTTTTTTTCGAATTTTCTGCCCATTTCCCAACCCTTATATTTTTTGGAAAGGATAAATCGATAGTTCTGAAAGTCCTGGAACATAAAGCTATATAGTCCGACCGCTGCATAAAGCAATTTCAAAAACGATCCGGAAACCGGAAGTAGTCGAAATAATGATAGATATTTCGAAAAAAAAGCAAAAAATGGATGTTTTGGGGAAAAACTCGATTTCCCGTCAAGTATCAATGGATTAAACGAATTAAGCTTTCATTGAGTGGCCCGAGGAATGGACTGTCGAATGATGCCCACTTTATACGGATAATATGACCAAGCAGCAAAATATGACAAGCTGAAAATCAAGTATTTTCTGATTTGGAGCGTTTTTGGACGCCTTTATCTCAAAAACTTAACCTACAATTTTTCTATCGAGAGTCCTTTCGGTAGTCTTGTGCATGAAAACATCCAATAAGTCTTTGAAATGTCTGGAATAGGATAAAAAAGGGGCTGAAAATCGAAAAAAGTCGAAATGGAAAATGCTATATTATTTTATTATTTAATCAGATTTTTACGAAAAAGTTACACATCCAGATAGCTGACCTAATTACGATTCTAACGATGTATAATATGTATTGAGTTATTGAAATTTAATTTTCGATATTTTGACATTTTTGAATTTTTGGCACTTTTGAACATATGATTTCTCAGGGCCATTTTATCTGATCAGAAAATGTAAAATATCATTACAGAGCCCTGTGGCTATCTAATTGCCCAAATGTGTTATTAAAACTATCCCGACAATAATCTCCATACCGGACGTATTCAAAAAATGAAGAAAAAGGTTAAAAAAAATTAGCGCTCGTGCGAAAAACTTGATTTCTCCACCAGATCTTAGCGGACCCAAATATCTAAAGTGTCGCTGGATAGCCCCATTAATGGACTATCATATGACATCTGAATGATACGATTTAGATGGGTAGACAATAAATTATGTTATGCCTAAAATCTAGTATTTTCCGTTTTGGAGCATTTTGAGAGGTCTTTTTCTCAAACACAACAACTACGTTTTTTCTTAAACTTTTTTTTACTCAGAGTCCTATGGGTGGACTATGGTGTGAGTCCAAAAATAAAAGCATTGAAGTAACATAAATTGTCCAAAAAGAGCCTCAATCTTGGAAAAAAGTTGAAAAATCCTCAAATAACTGAAAATGCTCTTCTATTATTCTTTGTTTTGAAAAGAGCTCAATGGGCGTTTCTGAAACTTCTGGTACAGAAAATTAACTATCCAAACAACATGTTAAAACTATCCCGACAATGATCCAAAAACCGGAAGTAGTTGAAAAAATATCCGATATTTTGATAAAAAAACAACTTAAAAAGTAAAAAATGGTGATCTTGCGAAAAAAGTGATTACAACGCCATATTTCAACGAATCAAAACAACTAAAGTATCATTGGATAGCCCGAACAGTGGACGATCTTATGATATCTCAATGTCAAAAAATCGCTGGTTAGGTAATATATTATGAGATGCTGAAAATCTAGTATTTTCCTCTTTGGAGCCTATTCAGACGCTTTTATCTCGAAAATTACTCTTATTTCCTTTCTTAAACTTCTGTTACTTAGAGTCCTAATGCTGATCTGGGGTGTGAATCCAAATTTAAAAGCCTCAATATAGTATAAATGGTCCAAAAGGGCCACAATCTTTGAAAAAAGTCGAAAAATCGTTATATCTGTAAATCTGCTTCTAGTGGTATAAGGGAGGTAAAACTGTCCAATGGATCTTTCTGAAACTTCTGGTACAGGAAGTTAAGTTCCCATAGCACTTGTTAAATCTATCCCGATAATGATCCGTAAACAGGAAGTAGTCAAAAAAATATTCGATATTTAAAAAAAAAAGACAGTAAAAAAATCGGTGCTCTTGGAACAATCGGGATTTCGCCGTCGGGTGTGACCGGATCAAAACATCTAAAGTATCGTTTGGTAGCTCGATAAATGGGCTATTGTATGACACACTTCCTGTCTGATTCCTGAAAGCCGGTTCAGTGCTGCTTGCAGGTCTAGTTATTATTATTTTTTTCCGCGGGAGCCTATTTCTCCATGATCGAAAACAGATATCGATCTGGAACCAAATTTTCTATCGGGAAACCATGTGGTGGCTACTTGATAAAACAATTTTGAAACTTCTGGGCATATCTGTGTAAATTATGTGTGGTGCAGTCCCCCTGCACTTAATAGTAGAATATTCTAAATGTAACCATGACATTATGACGTCATAATAGTTATTGTTTAATAAATTAATGTTATAATAAATGCCTAAAGAGCAACTTCGGTTGTGAAAACTTTAGCACAAATTGTGTAGTTTCATTTCGCCAACATAAATTTTACTTATACTATAGACACAGATTTGTATATTGCTTGGTAATACTTCAGGAATTGCGAAACTTTTCTCCAAAATTCTTAGTCTCCAATCAGAAACTATGTTTTACCTCGAAGCCATATAGATTTTACACCTGGTCAAATAAAATTTCTGAATTGTCTTCAGGTGTAATCGACATTTTTGTACTAGAATCGGTGATATAATAACAACAGCTGTTTTATATATTCGTTACCCTTTCCATATTAGCTTTTTAATTGTATTATTTATCTAACGTTAAATATTCAAAGAATATAGTTGCTCTATTGAAGACTGTGGTACTAGAACCAGTATTAAAGATATGGACATAATTCAACTATAAAATGCTAGTCTACATTTTAGTTCATATTATGACTTAGGTCCTGTTTTCATATTGTGATATACAGTTTATGCAGAGTCACCAATGTGGCGGTATTTAAAACAGCTGAAGCAAAATTATACTGTCAAAATAACTTACCAATATGATTGCATTGAAGAGGAACATAGAATACTTGAGAAAATTACCACAGCCATTTAATCCCATTTTGGCATCCTGAAAAGAGATATACGAGGTTGTCAGTAAACTTGAAACACGCCGTCAAAGAACTCTTCTGCAGAAGCCATCGACACAAATCTCGACTGATTTAGTGGAAAGACGAAGGTTGCGTTAGAGAGTTATAAGAAACTTATGAAGACTTAAATATCCAGTTGTTCATCTTCATTACGAAAGGATTCTATTAAGCGATAACTGACATCTGTCTCTAGAGTGTTTAATCGGTGAAAGGTAATATTTGTTTTTCACATCACATCACTTATCAATGATGATGAACTACTATATAACTGTTAATGTAATATCGCATTTTCTAAATTAGAAACATATTTATAAGACGATCAGTGTGTATAGTATCATAAAATGTTGATACTTTTATTCCATAGAGTTACTTTCACCGTCTTTATAAAAAAAGAATTAAAAGAATTATAAATATTAGTTGTTACTGTGAATCCGCGCCTGTAGGCTATCAACTTTTGGAAGGTGTTTAACTTTGAATATTGAGCTTTTATGTTTAAAGAAAAGTGCCATTATGAGAAAGTGTACTAAACGAGCAATACTGATATGAAAGTTCGTGAAACGAGGAAACGTATTATAGATAATTAAATCTAAAAACAGCCAGATAACTGAAAATAGACGTAATACCGTGACGTCATAGAATAAACACACCTGATGAAAACAGCTGAACAACGGCGGCCCCATCTAATCAATATACAGGTCACAACACAGAGTAAGTAGTCACAACACAGAGTCAGTAGTCACAATTCATTGCTTGATAATGACTAAAGAAGTCTAGTCGAAACGTCGCTCAGTAATAAGCATTAATTGTATTCCATAAAACTGTGACCTGTATATTCCAGTTCAATTACTGAATGCCATTGAAACAACCCATCTAATCAAGTTTATTAAAAATACAAAGAGTACTAATTCCTTCATAAAATGATTGCATGATCCACAAAAACAGTTTGTTTGGTTGGTTTTCTAGGAAAATGGAAAGCAGTCCTTTTGAATATATATACTATTCCACCAAAATTGTCCTAAACTTAACCGCGTCTTTATTATAGCTTTATTGTGCGAAAAGGTTTATAAGGTTTATAAGGCGTTATTTAATCGGTAACATTTATAAAGCGCACATTATTCACTCAGAAGTAGCAAAAGTTACAATAGGATATCATATCAATCTAATCAAGTACCCGTTATACAATTAAAGGTTTACAGATTTTGACCTTAAAAGATACCACATAGCACTAGAAAGTAATGGGCAAATACACGATTATAAATGTTAGAGTTTTCTGTATAAGACTTTTTTTTAAAATGTGTATGCACTGGAAGTCTGCATTTGCCTTTCATTCTGAAATATTGTGTTTTTAATAGAACTACAGAGCAACATATAGCATTTTCAAATTTATGTTAATCCTTGCTGTCAATAACTCTTTCTTCTACTATATTATATAGATCAATATCGCTTTATATCCCTCTTAAATCATCATCAAATATACCAGTGTACCTATAATCCTACATGATTCCTAATATTCCCGCAGTGACAAACACGAATCGGATTGTTTGAAGAAACTGTTGTTGTTAGTTAGTTGTATTTTACGTCCGCTTCCACCGAGGTGATATCGCAGACAATAACATGTTATGTATACAAGGTGCAATAATTTACAATGTGATTAGTGAAAAAGAGGATAATTAGGTTTTTATATATATGTACAGAAGACAATAGATAACAGCAAGAGACATGAGATAGCAGGTGCAAAGAATAAAGAGGTGCCAGTGGACGTTTACAAAACAGACGAATTTGTAACAAAACAGACATGAATGTGGACAAACATTTGGACAGAGACAAACATTTAGACATAGTATGTACATATATATATATATATATATATTTAGGTCATTTTCGTCGGTCTGGTCGATTTGTCCGGTTGAATGGCAGGGCGGTGCAACTCTTCCTTGGGGCTTGTTGGTGAGTGTAAGGCCTGGACCATTTTTCCTTCCATTTGGTTTTGTTGTCCGGTATGGTGGTTGATTTCGTCATTATTTCTGTTGTTCATTCCATTGTTGTTGGTTCTCTGAAGGAAGAATCCAGCGCCTGAAAAGAGAAAGCTCGAGAAAAAAGAGTAGCTGGTCTTGTGATGGTTTTGTTTTTATTTCGTCTAGTAAGGCTTCGGGGGGGGGGGGGGTGAAGGAAAAAAAAAAAGAAAAAAGAGAGAAAAAAAAGCATTTATGGCAAGTTAGTATGATATACATTCAATCAAAATTTATTAGGAGTTAATAAATACAATAATACATATATGGTGGCTTAATATGATCTACAATCAATACTTATTTAGTCAAATAAATAAAAGTGTAAAGAAAATTACAGAGTGTGTAGCGTTTCCCTCTTATGGGGACATTTTTGCGCTATCACCCTGATTTATTAATTAATATTTTTATTTGTGGTGTAGGACAGGTGGCGATTCCTTCTAGAGGACATTTTTACGTTCCGCCCTACTGTTAATTGATTAATTTTATTAATTGATTTATTAATTTTATCGGAGTTTTATTAGTAGTGTAGGGCGGTTTACGCTTCCTTCTAGATGACATTTTTACGTTCCGCCCTACTGTTAATTGATTAATTTTATTATTTTATGTATTTGGTCATGCCTATATTTACTATTAATGTAGGGCGGTTTACGCTTCCTTCTAGAGGACATTTTTACGTTCCGCCCTACTGTTTAATTGATTAATTTTATTATTTTATATATTTGGTAATCCCTATATTCTCAATAAAATCCCAGACAAGTTGTGATGTCCAGTATCTATCGTCAGGTTGTGGAGAAAGGAGAGATTTGAGACAGAATTTTTCCCCTCTCTGCTAGATTCTTAATTACGGATTGACGTTCTATGTTTAATTGATTACAGTTGATTAGCTGTTGTGACGTGGTCGCAATTTGTCCACATGGGCATTTAATTGGTGTAAAGGTGAAGTCTTTTATTACGTTTATCGTTTTAAGCCTCGTGATGAGTTTGCATATTTTAATTGAGGGATGATTGATGTAAACCTTGTCTGCAAGATTGCTATCAATTTGATAGCGATGAGTATTCTCTTGTTTTAGACGGGTTTTCCATGCTTTTTTAATTTTAGCTATGCTTGTGAATTCCTTACTGCTGTATTCTAAATTTTCTATATCATTTAGTGACAACCCTTGCCGAAAATATTGATGTGGGGGGGGGGGGGGGATGCAAGGACTACCTATCTTCCGTTATTCTTGATTGTTTGATTGATATCCCTAATTTGGTGGATTATGCCCTGTCTGCTTTTGGAATAATCTGATTCGATGGATTTGATGCTACTTAGGGAGTCTGATAGGATATCGGCTTTTTGGTGTGTTTGCGTGGCTAGCCATTCTATTGCAGTTTTAATGGCCATCAGTTCTGCCGTGTACACAGAACAATGTTCTGGTATCCTTTTCCTGATGTTTAGCTTTGCTTTGGGTATGAAAATGCCGTACCCTGTTAATCCCTGTGTATTATTTTTCGATCCATCTGTATAGATTTTAAAATAGTCTGCCCATTTGGTGTCTATTAGTTCTAATGCTAGTGCTCTAGCCTCTATGGGATTAGCGTGTTTGTTTGTAACGTTAATTAGGTGCGTGTTGATGATTGGATCGTTTAGTTGCCAGGGTGGAGTGACGGGATAAGTTTTTGTTTCTATGATTGTTCCTTTTAAATCGTGCTTATTTAAGACATCGTTTGACATTTGCCCGAATGTCATGGGACGCGTATTTTTTCTATAGCCTATGCGTTTGAATTGTTGGAGGCACTTATATGTCGGACATTTTTCTTTTAGCATTTGCAGTTTACCCCAGTACTTGAATGACAGTTCCTCTCGCCTGAGATCGAGCGGGGGTTCTCCCATCTCTTGTAAAAGGGCAACTGTTTTGGTTCCTATTGCTGCTCTTGTTACTAGTCTTAATGCTTTACCTTCTATTATGTTCAATTTATTTAGTTGTGTATCACTTGCATTTGCATAAGCCAGACATCCGTAGTCGATTATCGAGCGGATGAGTGCTCTGTATATTAACATAAGAGTGCTTCTATTTGCGCCCCATTGCGTTCCTCTGATGTATTTCATTTAGTTGAGTGTTTTCGATGTGCGACTTACTATGCTGTCTATGTGTGGTTTCCAAGAAAGTTTGGAGTCAAATATCATTCCTAAAAATTTGGTTTCTGTTTTGAATTCTATTTTTGAGCCGCTAAGATTTAAGTCTATTTTCCTGTTAGTGTCAGTCGGATGAAACATTATTGCTACAGTTTTCCCTTCTGAAATAGACAATAGAGAAGTAATCCAGTCATTTTTTTTTATAGATAGCCACTCACGCGTGGAAAAACGCCAACACATCAGTATGTCTCGCAAAATATATAATCATAGACAACATGGTTGCTAACAAAATTTGAAAAGGATCCTTTATGCCCTGCTCTCTATCAAGGTTACAGCTTATCTGGACACATGGTATACCTCTAAAGCAGCCAATAAATTCAACACTATATTTAAAATAGACGGGTATATTGTAAGATCAGCGGCAGCCATCTTGAAAAATATTGAAGACCAAACAGCTCTTTATTCATAGTTCTTAATTCTTAGTTCTTAATTCATAGTTCTTAATTCACAGTCCTTACATCTTATTTCTTCATTTGTTGTCGTATTTCGACATTTGTACACTAAAATTAACATTTATATCTTAAATCATTATTTGTTTTACAAATTAGACATTTTTCATATCAGATTTGTAAAATGTATTTTTGTTTAATTTAATTTTATTTTAATATATAGACAAAATTTATTTTAGTAAATCAAAAAAATAATCTACATTTACATTTCATCATAGACATACAACGAAAAACAAATCTTGAACAACAAATTTCTAAATACAAATTTCTAAATGCAAATCTTGCAAAACATTTCTCCAAAAACATTAATTCTTCAATAACATTTCTCCAAAAACATTTCTCGAAAT